GGACTTAAGAGCAAAGATTGATACAAAAAATATGGGAAGCAAATGTAGGCCAAAGATGCTGTAGAAATCATAGGTTCTCTTCTGTGCAGAATTGATAAATTCAAATCCCTAAAATAAACTAAGAGGGACTTAAGAGCAAAGATTGATACAAAAAATATAGGAAGCAAATGTAGGAAGGATAGAAATCATAGGTTCTCTTCTGTGCTTCGAGGGTTTTTCTCAAGGTTCTCTGGTTTTCCTCTTACAACAAAATTTAACTCTACTGCTGTAACATACACTATTTCATATAGAGTTTTTCTTTGGATTATAATTAGGTCTAGACTAGAATTATACTGAAAACTTCAAGTTATTTTTTACTGGTATTTCGATGGTTAGCATAAGATATTTGTAAGGAATGGTGATAAAATAAACAGGTGCTTATACAAACAAACCCGCCCAAAGGCATTAACCAGTAATCCATCTTAAATCATTTAACTTCATATTTTCTTTCATAAAAAAAAAATTTTTAATTATATTTGTTTTTTTCTTTCATTGGAAACTATTCTTCGTTTACTCAAAACAAAGTTCGTCAATGTTCTAATCGTTTATGTTATTTATTTAATGCAATCTTTGTTTCCACTGACTTTAAGATCAATTGCTTATTTTCAATTGAGAATTACATTCCAAATGCGCTTGAATCACGTTTGGTTAATAGATATATATTGTGTGGGCCGCTGTAATAGTCGTTCGCGAGACACCTCGTTATTTTACCACAGGTGGTAATAAGCACTCATTCTCTGATACATTTACGAACACCTACTTTCTTCACCTATCAAAGTAAACAAACTTTAAACCTACCAAAGTCAGTGACAACTTTGATAAAACTGACACAAATATCTTCTTTATCTGTTCGTAAGGACAGGGCAGAAAAACGGTTTTTGGCCTTTTTGCTATAAGGACAGCTTTACGTATTTAAGCTCAATATTTTGGAAACGAGTTCTTTTGGAGCCAAATAGCAAAATATCAAATGCGACCAAAATTTATTGAATGCGTATTTGAGATATAGAGCCGTGTACTTTGGGAGAGGTGATATTTTGATCAGCAGAAAAACTGACATTTTCGTGAATACTATGTACATTACACATTTATTGGTAAAAAGGTTACTTTTTGACTTAAACTCAGCGGGGCTCGCATTCCTTAAATCAATAAAAAAATATACTTTTGTTTATATTTATAAATAATTTTTTTCGCCAAATCGTTCGGCATCAAATGCGAGCCGAATTATTTTGCTTACCTTTTCGTCATATGATGTTATAATTTGACTCAGCGCTAGAGACAAAATTACTTCTATAAATACTCGCTGTAAAATTAATTTTGGCAATTTTTACCATATGGTAAGATTTTCAAGAAAAATAGCTGGTCTCAGTCGTTTTTAGTGTCGATCCTACTAATAGTAGTTGCAAAGAAGGCTAGTTGCAAAGAAGGCTAGAGTTTTAAGTATGAAAAAAAAAACTTAAAGCAAGAAGATTTTAATTCTTTACTTACCACGCTGTAGTGAGATTAGTTAGAACACTTTTATATATTTCTTCGCTCCATCTGGGAATTGAATAAAAAGTTGTTGTCATTTATATTCGTGAGACTAGAACCCATACTCTCGCTAGAGTGACGTCATTTTATTGTGCTCTCAAACGCCAATGTGACGACACTTTGACGACACAGTATTTGGGGGATTTTTTTTCGCCGCTGAATTTTAGAGTATCTGTACTTATATTGCCGCCAACTCGCAAATAAATAAGCTCCAGATCCGTACTTAACTTAGCTTACATCATTTTACCTAGCCTTTTAGGGGTTCCTATCCATTGAATTGAATTATTGTACCTGCTATATCTGTTAAATAAAACTCGCCTGTCCATTTCTTGTTTTTCTTCAGGTGGCCGAGAGGAGTTCGCGCCAATGGACATCTGCTGCTTAATTCAGAAAAGGTAAAGTGACGTCAGTACTTTACTGACATGGATTTCCTGCCAGGTTAATGGCAAGTTTGTAACGAGAAGTGAAAGGGATAGTTGAGTATGAGGAGCCGGGTTTCCCTTCACTGTGAGAATTTCATGAAGTTCGTTTGATGTTAAAGATGTTATCAAGAGAATATGATGAACCAAGAGAAGGAATCCCCGCGCCCCATCATGAGCTCTCTTTGATGCTATTTTTAGAATCTTTGGTGCTATTTTTAGAATCATTTAGTTGATCGTTTGTTTTTCTGCACGCGTGTACTGCGCGCACTCTACCCTGTTTGCTCATGCTTTTCTGTCTTTCAAAAAAACATGAGCAGACAGCGTAGAGCTCGCGCAGTAGCGCGCGTGCACAAAAACAAGCGATGGCAAATGTGATTCTAAAAATAACATCAAACGTCGCCTATGATGGTTACAAGAATGGATATCAGAGATTCCTTCTGTTAGTTTATTTACTCTTGATGTTACCTTTTATTAAGAAAAACACACAGATACGCAGAATAAAGTACGTTTGAAGCAAAGTCTAAATATATGATTTAGTTTATCTTTTATTTTACAGATGTCTAAATCTACTGGGAATTTCCTGACGTTGCGTCAAGCCCTCGACAAGTTCTCTGCTGATGGTAGGTAGATGATTCGTGGAGACAACGAGCTACACAAGAAGCTTGGGCTCCGCGCTTTTAAAGTTTATCTTTTTATGAAAACAAAACTGTGTCTTACCGAGTCGACACTACCTGAAAAACTCCCAAAAAATACAAACGCTGTGAAGAAATTAATTTGAAACCTTCAACTTAAAACTAAATAAAAAAGAATAAAACTAATTTCTATTTCTACAAACAAATGCTGAATCAAACCGCTCTTGAATCTTAAAGTATCTCCACGCGTCTGCCATTTACCCGCCAATTTTCTGGACATGCGCAGTTAAGTATGATTTTTCAATTTTTTGAACATGCGCAAAATACAGTTCTGTCTACATCTTGCCATTTCAGGCATGAGACTGACGCTCGCTGATGCCGGAGATACAATTGAGGATGCAAACTTTGTTGAGAAAATGGCTGACGCTGGAATTCTACGTCTCTATACTTTCCACGAGTGGATTAAGGTGATTTTCCTCCCTCGATTGACACTTCGTGGGAACCCTGTGTTTTATTCAAGCTTTCTGATTGGTTTGAGACTCTTCAATGGCTCCGATTTTAAACCAATCAAAACGCACGCAAGCGCAAATCATCCAATTTGGAAGCAGCCGGTTTGAGTCTTTAAAGATCAATAACAGTACGAACCACGGTCGCTATTCAGTATTCATAAGGCGACGTTTTCAAATTAAATTGAACTTTAGGAACTTGAATGTTATATTGTGAGAAAACGTTACAGGATACAAGCAGATAAAACGGAAAACGTGGTCCCTAAATGTCGCCGTAAATTCAAACAACACGATGAGATTGATTCTCTGATTCTCCTTTTAATTGATCTGAGATTATGATCATTCAAAACATACATTATCTGACGATTTTCTGGCATATTTGCAGGAAATCCTCGAGGCCAAAGACTCCCTCCGGACAGGAGATGCTAGTTCATTCAACGATCGCGTGTTTGATAGGTACGAGTGATCGTTCTTCGTTCGTGTCTGTTTTTGTCTGTTTACGATCATAGCGCTGGACTTTCAGTCGGACAATAAATCAGGAATGCAGATTTCAAAACGAAGATTGAAATAGAAAGCAATTGGTGCAGCTGCCTTAGACTTTACGTCTGCCATCGACCGACTACCCGGATGAATCTGTAATAACAAATTACCGATATGTTATAAGAACAATCAATCCGAATGGCCCCAAGAGCCGTCTGGTAATGAATCGGTAAATAGCAGATCCCTGGAGCCTATCAGATGGGGTGTTTTTATGGTCGTCGGTGGTCGAGGGCAAATGGAATAACAACACATGATGGATCCCATATGATTTAACAATCACGTTCACACGTTGCATATTAATTAAAACACTCACAGTTGACGTGTAAACCACACATTCCTTGTGAAACAGAATCACGTTTCACCGGTGCATACTAATATCATTAAAACACTTACAGTTATCGTGTAAACCACACATTCCTTGTGAAACAGAATCACGTTCACACGTTGCATATTAATTAAAACACTTA